CTCCGATGATAATAACAAAATTTAAAGGATAAAGATAAATTTAGGATAAATGAAAATTATGAATAAACACTAATTTATTTTCATTTATTTTAATTTTTATTATGTGTTAATTAATTTGGTGGTCCAGAAATGTCCTCGTATTTTTGTAAAATAGAGATGTTTTCGTTTGAATCATTCCCTATGTGGGTATATATGCTTCTATTTGTATACACACACACACATACACACACACACACATATATATATATATATATGTGTGTGTGTGTGTGTGTATAGGGGATTATTCAAGGGAAAACTGGTTAGTTTGTGATAACTTTGAGATCCAATCTCAACCACAAATCAGTGGTTAAATTAGAAAAACTAATAATTTTGGTAATTTAACTTAAAATTTTAATTAAAAGACATTTTAGGTATTTTAAAAATCTTATATATCCTCTCTCCTCTCTTCGTCGAACTTTATTATGGCGAACCTTATTCGGCAAACACATGATGCACAATGTGATATGTTTCATAAAAATAACGAAAAAATATAGTGTGACAACATTACCTGATATATTGTGTTACACTTTGTAAAACAATAAAAATATATTGTGATACACTTCCTATAACGACAAAAATACACCATGATGCATACTATGATACCAGATCTTGTTAATGAATACAACTGTGATACCACTATGACACCACTATGTTACCACTGTATTATACCTGACGTTACATCTCCAAAGAGATCCAGGTTACATCCAAAAACCTTACATCTTCTGAGTTAGATCTCTGACGATATATGTACATCTCTGACAAGTTGTAGGTTACGTGCCCGATCTAAAATGAAATTTGAACAAAAACCAGAAATCGAAACAGATCTGGGTGTGTAGAAACCAGATAGTATATGAAAAACCGAAACCGAACTAGGTTGTTCAACAAGGGGGAGTTGGACCAGTAAGGGGGAGTTGGACCAGTGAACGTGAGAGTTGAGGAGATGATGACCAGTGGTTGAGATGGACAGAGAATAAGAAGCAGTGGTGGCCGGTGGCCGGAGATGGGCGGACAAGGAGGCGTAAGACGGTGTTGGACAAAGGGGTTGGTTTAAAATGTCGCACTGGAGAGGAAGCACATTTTGCCCGACGATGGGGAAAGAGGGTCACAGGTGGTGATCTTGTCCATATATATATAGATACACACACACATTATCTATTTCAAAATTAAAATACTAAACTAATTAAAGTAAATTGAATACTCAACACAATTTACTAATTTACCCTTCTACTTATTTTAAGAAATCATAATAATTAGCTTAAATGATTGGTTTATGTTGGATCTTACAATTACCACAAGCCAAACAGTTCTTATTTGATTATACCCCTATATGTATATATGTGTTGTGCATGTATACATAAATGAGAGAGTGAAAGAGGTAGGTCTAGGGTAATAATAGATTACATTCTTGGTCGCTGTAGTTTTAATATAAACCAAAAAATTATGAAATGATTGAATTGTCCTCCTAGTTCAGTAGCTTAACAAAATCTTCTAACGGTGTTAGGGTAAAGGGACCAGAGGCATGTGAAAATGTAAACCACAAGGACTTTTTTCATAATTGTTTTGATTTAGGGACGTACAATATGATTATGTGTAAACGTAGTCAAAACTTGTAATTTACTCAATTTTAACTTTTGGATTTATATAACCAAATACAAATCTTTATAATCCAAGTATTAGAAGATATTAAAATAATAATCTAATTAAATATCTTACTAAAATACCTATTAAAGTTTTATTATTTATGAAATAATAAATATAATTTTAACTTTTAAGGTAATTTAAACAAACATTTCTAAAATTGAGTTATAATAATAATATAAAAGTAATTGATAAAGTTAATAATAATTTTAAATAATTGATAATTAATATTAATAAATAATTTATAATTAAACTTAATTTACAATTTACAATCTAAACTTGATATTAATTAAAATTTTATAGTTATTAATTAATATTAATATTATTATTAGTTAATATTTATTTATAATAGAGTAAATTATGTTCATCGTCCATGTGGTTTGTTATAAATTTTGGATTTTGTCCTTGTGTTTTTGAAATTGTGGTTTTAGTTTATATGGTTTGCGATTCATTTTCATTTTTGTTCGTAAGGTTAAACACTACTTTTAGGTATGAGGTACTAAAATAGAAATGAATTGTATACCATAGGAACGAAAATGAATTACAAACTATAAGATAAAATCGTAATTTCTAGATCACAAAAACGAAAATATAAATTTTCAATAAACTACAAGTACTAAAAACGTAATTTATTTTTAATAATAAAATAAAAGTTAATATCATCAAGAAGGGGTGAACAAAAAACCGTCAACGAGCGAAACCCGCCCAACCCAACCCACTAACAACCCAATTAAACCCAACCCGTCTATCCGTCAAACCGCTAACCCGCCAATTAGGAGGGTTGAAATTGGGTTGAGCCTAGCTCAATCCTCCCAACCCGTCAACCCGCTGCTAATATATAATTTTTATAAAATTATATATATATATATATATATGTTTATTATGTGTATATATATATATATATATATATTAATAATGTATAAATTTTATATAATTTTTATTGATATTATATTTTGTTTCATTTTAACTAAACGTATAGGTTACCAAAAGAGATTCACGATCAAAGAATGCTGACAAATAATCTAATTAATAAGGAAAATTATTGATTTTTTTTTTGTAGCAACAACAAATTGATATGTTGGAAAATATGAATGATATTGATAGATATTTGATGGATGAATCCATCAATCTATGACGCTTTTAAAGAGTTACGTTAGAAAAATGTATTATCTAAAAGAGTTCCAATATGTTTATAAGATGGTTTTGGACGTCTTAATAAATTCTATGATGCCTTTAAAATAAAGTGTCGTATTAGTTATTTTATACAACACGACTTGAAAAAATGTCATATGAGCATAGGTGTCCTATAAATAGATGAGTTTACGAGACACTTCTCAAAATGTTTCTATAAAATAACTAATACGACATTTTATTTAAAGATCATTCTAAAACACTTGTTGAAACGTCCTATAAACCTATTGTAACATTTTTAGACAAGACGTTTTATAGTATGGTCTATAAACTTAAGTTTTATGAATTATTTCATTTGTCAAATTATGTAACTACTAACCCGCCAACCCAACCCAACCCAACCCGCCTCAACCCGCAAGGGTTGGGTTGGGTTGGGTTAAACTTTTGAATGAGTTAGGTTGGGTAAAGATTTTCCAAACCGTCATAATTGGGTTGAGTTGTAAAATTGTTGTAAACCGCCCGATCCAACCCGCGTTCACCCTTATCATCAAGGGGTGAAAATGAAAGAAACCATAATTCTTTTTTGATTGAAACTTTTTAAACGTTCAATAAAAATTATAATCTTTTAAAGTATTTTTAAGAGATTCTCTATAATTTATTTAAAATAGAAGTGTATCCGTGCAATGCAGCGAGATACATTGTGATTTTAATATTTCATTTTATTCTTTATCTCAGCCTATGTTATAATATGGATTTATGTGATTTTGAGAAAGCGATGATGTTTTTATTTTTAAATAAAATATATGTTTGAAGATATCATAAAAATTTGACAAAAATATATCGATATTAGTATCAAATTAACTATTTGAAATTCCTCATTTTTTTGTGTAA